AAAAAAAAAAAAAAAAAAAACCAGAAAAACCCCCAAACAAAAAACAAACGAACAAAAAAAACAACCGAATGGTTATCAAAGAAAGTAGGTTGGAAAAACAAAGGAACACACTGCATGTAAACACCTTCCCCGCATCGTGACTCTCCTCCAAAGACCCAGGCTCTGGACACTAGACGAGAAGAACCCTCCCTGTTTACATTCACACAAACATCTACTGGAAATCCTGCCATGTGGTGACGCACAGAAGGGTGACGTTCACATCGACACAGGGCAGTGTGTCGTCCACCCGCAGCACCTCTCTGGGATAGAGCCACCGGCTGCGGCTGCACTGTCGCGGCGCCGAGAGACCCAGTGCTGGGGTTCTGGCGGTCTGAACAAGAGCAATGTCCACGTTTTGATCCTGGCAGCGGGAAGATCCTGTCAATGCCTTCTCCATACTAGACGGAGGATGAATCGTAACAGTTGTAAGATAACCATTTGAGGGTGGTGAGGGTGCTCTTCGGCCTCTGGGTAGTTATTTACCTGCGAAAACACAAGCAGAGTTCTTGGTTACTCCCTAGCAATCTGGAGAGTGCACATTTAAAGCAAGACAAACATCCCACCTGAGTGGCAGGGGAACTCCATTCCATCTGTCCCGCCAAGGGGACGATGTGACCTCACAGAGTACAAGCATACCAAATGAGTTGTCCATCACTGGGAAAATACAGCAAATAGAAGACCATCAAACTACTCCAAAGGCATCCCGGAACTACAAACCTTCACGTGGGGGCTGAACAAGAGCCAGCTCTCTGGTGTTGGTGTCTCTGGAGAAGTGGCCGAGGGCGGGGGAGGGGCAGAGGAAAACAAAGGGTGAACTTGGGTCCCTTACTACCAGCCACATTCACTGGCAGTCAGACAGGCTCAGACTCCCTCGGAGGCGGACTCCGGTAGCTGTAATTGGCTTGAGAAAGCAGTGATTTGGGGGGTAATTTGCTCTAAGAAGCTAAATAAAGTGGAATAGTGATGGCCTTTGGCTGCACTGAAGCATAAACAGTGACCTGAGGGGCTGCCACTGTCGCAGACAAGGGGCTGCTGAGTCAACCTCGCCATCCCACACCAGGCCTGGGAAGGAAAGGGCAATTAAGAGCAAAGCCTGGTCGATTGTGACATACGTAGGTCTGTGACTCTCTGAAGACTGACAGTCCGAAGCCTGGGACTGATGAGAAGAATTCCGAGTCCCTTGCACCCTTCCAGAGTGTCCACAGGGGGATCTAACTCATCTCATTGGAGAACAAAAAGCAAGGGAAGACATTTGCCTCAGTGCCATGGGCCACAACCTGGTTCAAATTCAAGTCTGAAGCAGGCCCCACTGGTTTCCTTAACGACTAACCCACAAACAGGACCTGGCTGCGTGGCCGCCATAGTACCCCCCTCCCACCCACCCCCCCCCTTCACTAGGGTGGGAAGTGCTCCTAAAGACTGTCTGGGAATGACCATGAATCACACCGGGCCAGTCTGTCCCCTCTCAGACTCCAAAGATCCCAGCAGACACCAGCTGCAGAGGGGAGCTCCCCTCTCCCCTCTGTTTACATAGCTCTCAAGCTCAAGGGGCCAGGGCATTTCCCCTTTTCTTTCCATAACAAGATGGGAGGAAATCGGCTTTATGTCAGCGATTCCTGTGGAGGAGCTCCCGTGACCACAGGCTGCGATTTTTATCAGCTCTACACACAAGATTGCTTTGTTTTGATTTAACTTTCAAAATTACTTTGCTCCTTTGGTGTGAGAATAACTCAGCTTGGGAAGGTACTTTGGTGAAGACGAATAGTAACGGGGCTGAAAGAGACTGATTCAAAATAGAACCACAACTCACTAAAACAGAGAGAGCAGGCTCTCCGGCTGACTAAGTCATCGGTCCAAGGTGGGAAGACTCAAACGGGCCTGCTGTCACGGAGGCCCTCGGCGGAACCAGACACAGGATGACTGGGTATCTACAGTCAACACGCCAAGAATGGCTTGCCCAAGGGATGGGCCTCAACTGCTTACACTTGGCAAGCTTCAAATTCTTGTCCTGGTAGCATCTGGGGAGGCACCGACTGGCTCACCACGTGAGGATGACAGGTGGCCCGTGGTGGCTGTGGTCCAGGCTAATGAGAAGACATGCACAAAGGACATAGAAAATCAAGACAGGTGGCACTGACGTGGGAATGCAGGAAATTTTGGCAAAGGAAGACTCAGTCGCCAGGGGTGGCGGCGGTGTGCCGCCCTCTTGGGCCCGTGGTATGACAGCGCGGCACGCGCCTTTAGCAAGTGAACAATTGCTTTTGGACAACATTCAACGGAGGAAGCCATTAGTACTGAGTCAGAGCACCATGCCAGTCCAGAAATCCCCCAACAGCTGGCACGGTGGCTGGAGCTGCTCCTCTGGCCCGGCACATGTGGCCCACACAACAGAAAACAGCTGGCGGATGGGGGGCGCTGACTGACACCAGCTTCAGCAGGTGTGCCTCCGCCTGAGCCCAGTGGAGCTGACGCACGGCAGATTTGAGAGCCGAAGCAGAATGAAGACAAGAAGCCAGGACTTAATGCTTAGGAAAAGGGCTCCCCAGAAGGAGCTCCTTGTGACACACACATGGGGACCCAAGGCTGAGCCCGCGCTTCAGTTTTCATCTGGTTTAAGGGTCAGGAGAGTTGAAAGGATCATGCAAACCGAGTCTCCACACTCCTTCCCGCCACCCACACCTACAGGAGGGCACCTGGCCGGGACATGTTCAGGGCAGGCCTGAAAGTGACCGTCATTTGCGGTGGGGGTGGGGGGTGGAGGGGGTCCTTAGCCAAATGCCAGTGTACAGGGGAGAAGTCACCCACATGCTGCAAGGCCCCTCACAACTTCCGCAGAACTAGAAAGACAAGAGAACAGGCAAAGGACTAAGGGCATCAGATCTGTCTTCCTCGGCTGCAGCTCTTCGCAGAGTCACCTTCTGGCCTGTGCCCAGCGGGTCTGCATCAGTGACTCACACTCGGGCACTCCCAAGGGCATCTGTGTACCGAGGGCATACAGTCCAGGACCACGCCTGTGCCACCCGGTAGAAAACAGGGTGCTTTTCCTGATTACAACCACTTGAAACAGAAAACAAAGTACAATAAGGAAGGAAGGCCTGCCTCCCTCCTGGCAACCCCTCTATATGGGCCACAGTGTCCCCCAACTTCTTAGCCTGCAGTCCTGGCCCCAGTACCTCAGAAAGTGGCTGCCTGTGGAGACAGAGCCTTCGGCAAGGTGAGGAAGACGAGCTCACTGGTGGGGGGTGGGCAAGGTGTGACTACAGGGACTGAGACATAGACAGTATGCGACGACATGGAGGACAGAGCGTGAACAGGTCAGAGACAGGCGTGTGGAGATACCGGCGCAGCTGAGACCGATGCCGGACTTGTGGGCCCCAGAACTGAGGCGGAATTAACTCCTGTTCTTCACAGCACCCTGTCTGTGGCAAACCTTTCAGCCTACTGAACAATCATTCTCAGCCCTTCGCCCTTAAAGTGGAACACTTAAAGAGAAACACTTCTCAAGATGAAAGCTTAGCAACTGTTTCAGACTAAGTCACAAAGATGCCTGGGAGATCAGTCACGCGGATGCAGGTGGGTGAAGGGGTTACTTAAAAGGCTTTAGAGACAAGCAGGCTCTAAGGTGCTAAGAAGGGCTTGGGGACAGAAGAATCACCCATTGCCAGTGCTAAATGAAATGGCAGGCCTTCAAGCCTTCGAAACAACCCCATGGGGCCAGGGTGGCTCTCCTCAAGCTAAACTGGCCGGAAGTAGTAGGACAAGAGGTGGCAGGGCCAGGGCAGATACCCTGGATCCCATGCCTTCCTAGAAGGCACATGTCACCGAGGGCCACCTAGTCAAGCTCCCAGAAAGGAGAGTAATGATTACTAGCACGCCAGAGACAGGACAGAAGTTCAGGGGTAACTCCAGAGTCAACACAGCATCGCCTCCAAGAGGGACCTCTCATTGCTCAAGGTCACCTCCCTTTCAGCTCAAAGGAGGTTTCAGTGTGGGTTTGTGGAGTGGGAATAGAGATCCTCTGAGCGATTGCAGCAACTCAGCTCAGACTTCTGCTGGAATAGGGTTCAAATGCCAATCTCTACTTTAGAGCCCACGCTCAGCATAACACCACACAGAGAGCAGACTGGAGGGGGGGCTTAGAGTGACAACCACATCACAATAAAATTAAAGGTTGATGGAGATGTAAAATCACAGAAGGAGGAGACACTGTGAGACTGAGGAGTGACATCTGTGACAACATAACCACACTTCAAAGTCATGTTTCCTGGCAGTCAAGGTAACGGGGGTAAAAAACGATGGTATTGGGGCTGGAAAGATGGCTCAGTGGTTAGGAGCCCTTAGTGGTCTTCTTGTGGACCTGGGTTCTCTGCACCCTCATCAGATGGCTCATAATTGCTCTGAAGTCCAGTCACAGGGGCTCCAATGCCCTCTGTCCACTGAGGGTGCCTGCACATAAACTCATGCACACATACACATAAGTAAACAATGAATAAACCCTTTTAAGAAATGACAGTACCCTATCCCAAGTGCATCCCAAGATAGGCACCCTCAGAACTCTGAGACACAAAGGAATTTGACAAGTTGGAAGAGTGTGTCACATAGAATGTCCACACTGGAAGGCTCCAGATGTCCTAATCTTCTAACAGGTTTATTTATATGTACGTAGCAATCCATAGGAAACCCAATTTTGCACCAGGAAGGACTCTGGTAGTCTCCACTGGCAGTTCTGGCTCCAAAGAATGTGACACCATGTTCACCTGGATGGTGCAATGTTTCCCCCTCCCCACCACTCAGAGTGAGCCATCCAGGAGGCTGAGGAGACCCAGAACACAGCTGTGCCACTTCTATGGGATCCTAATCCAGCCATCTAAACAATGTTTATCAAAGCAGCTAGGAGGCCTTCGCCCCTCTCCAACTTCAGACAGAGACTCTGCTGAGATCCATGCCCACTGCTGCCCAGTCAGGCCAGACGGCTGCTGCCGAGAGGCCACATTCACTCTCTTTTTGTCACCAAGGGAACAAGTGCATTTAAACAGCCCGAGTCTGATAGCTTAGTGACCACAATGGCTGGAGAGAAGGCACAAGAGGGACTAGGACAATGTGAAGAGACCTCTGAATACTAGAGGAACAAATGTGCCCCCACCCCCAGACTCCTACCCTGCAAGCAAGCGGAGCTCTCACGATCTATGGTGACCACACTGGCGTGAAAGTCACAGACAAGCTGCAAACGCTCTCACAAACCGTACGTGTATCCTATCTATCTTTTCCTATGTACCATATGACAGAAACTGTTAAAAGTGAAGGTTTCTTATGGGGACACAGAAACCACTCCACAGGCTTAATTGCAGTGGGGGGTTACCTGTCTAGCCATCCTGGCAATATGACACACACACACATCTACTTGATGGGGATCCTGCTCTATCGCCAGTCAAACACGGTTCACGATTGCTATTATGTCTCCTGGGAGAGAGACAGGGGCAAAA